TTCTGCTGAATCTGAAACAGGGATTTAGATCGGGAACATGGGAGATAAAGTCTGACCATCCGCCTCGCCATCTGAAAGGAGTAGTGGTAATCAAAATTGTCTGCCTGACTGACTGGCCTAATGTTTTTTGTTGTATCGTGACTCACATGATACTTGGTCGAATTAGTCCGATGTTGAAGTCTCTCGAATTACTTAATCTCAACGTTTCTGCTTTTTGTGCATTCTTCCGTTTTGTCCTTTCTATTTCTTATATTTCTAATCTTTTTCCTTGTCTAATTTTTCTTTAGTTTCTTCTTTGTTTTTTATGCTTAATTTCCCACTGATTGCCGTGTCTGTTAACAATTTTTTGATTAGTCTTTCTTCTATTAGCTGAACTCGCTTAACGCAAAACTGGCGTCACTGGCTGGCTTTTCGAGCTCTGATCACGATCCGACGTTCATCATTACCGGACAGACGTACACGCGCCTTGTTGACATCTCGTTTTTGAACTCGCTCGCAATGTTAGCTGCATCTGTACACAAAATCTGCATGGATATACGAATGCTGCAGTGCTTCGGCGAGTTGCAAGAACCATTCGAGAAAACGCAAGTTGGTATGCTTTCGGTTTGTGCCTGTTTAGAGTAGAATTACTGAAATTTTATTACCTTAAATTATATGAGATTAAAAGTACTAAAACACTGACTTTGCTGAAATTTATTTATACAGAATATGCGTCCTTGAATACTTAGCAGTAGTTTCTGCGTGCCCTCAGTCACTGATCAAGATAAACGCTTCGTAAAGCTCAGGCTCACTGTATGAAACACACAGCTTCGTTTTGTAGGTATTTCATGATAAGAAAGCTGAAGACATCTATGTGCCTGTCAAAGTAGTAATTTAAGCGGCCCATTTCTGTATGCTTATAGGCGCGCTTGAGAATTGCTTAGCACTTGGAAATGCATGTTTGAAGCTGATCAACTTTTGAGGAAGAGCTTGATCGTCGTCGCCAGCTGCGATATTTGAATAATATTGATCCAAAAAGCCTATTTCTCAATGTCAGAATCGTAAATTTGAGCAAATTCGCTGTTAAATCCATGTTTGGCTTTAATAGGCTGTGGTAGCAATTATGCACGATATAGTACTGTACTGCTAATTAGATCCATCTACAATGATAAACAAGCCTTATCCTTTGCCAGAAGTGTACGTTTTACGTTCAAAAAATGTTAATCATTCTGTCATTTAGTTTAAGGACTGATTTTACCGAGGAACTAATAAAAGTCTAACTTAGTTTGTTTTATTAGTTAAAATTGTATTATTTGAGTGTAGCTTGTGGCATGAAATTGTTATTTTTGATAGCATTTTTCTGACCTAGGTTCCTCTGCTATGCCATACAAGAAGAATCCTATGCGAAGTGAACGATGTTGCGGTCTAAGCCGCTATCTGATGAATCTGCCTGCGAATGCTCTCCAGACGTTTGCAGTTCAAGGCTTCGAGCGTACATTAGATGATTCATCAAACAGGTGAGGAAGTCCCTCATGGCCTTGTCAACTGTTCAGTGAGTGATAATCTGTGATAAACATTGACTGCAACAGTGTGGATTTAAAACTCCAAGTTGCTGCCTGATAGTAGTAATTTATCATGGCAGTATCCTTCTTGTGTCATGCAGCCGAAAAACAGATTAGCACGCATGTGCCAGTAAAATAATT